AATCTAGTAATATGAAGGCTGACATCACTCCGTACAATTTTCTTTATCTTTCAAGATTTTAACTAGAATGTAAACTCTACTTTGATTAAGTTGCATCTTTATTTTAATAGAGTCAGAAATTGAAAATTTATTTTGAAAAAATTAGAATATATATATAATTATTTTCAGTATCTGTTGGTTAATACCAGCTCTACATTCCTGATTAATTTTATTAAGTTTTTTTTTACTGAGGCTTTTAGCATATACTATTTTTGGAGGGAATCTGCCTAGCTATCCTTAAAGTAGGCTGTTGGATTCCAGATTATGCAAATAAAAGTAGATCAGATTCGATTATGGAGCAGCACTATATAGATTTATATGGAGTTGGTCTTTCTTCAATAATATACGCCCATTGATGATATGTCGACATTCATTCTCATATGTCTATAGCAGCCTGTTTATGAAAATTATAATCATATTTTTACAATTTAGTATTTATGGTGGTGATCATAGTTTTTGATGAATGCAAAACGTTTTTCAGTTTTTCGAATAATTGGATTTATCCATTGTTACTTCATTATCATACTTGGCATCATAATGACTCTTAGGTTTAATTGAATCTCAGAAGTAACAAAACCTTCAAGGCATAACATAAGTTTGGTTAAGTGAAATCAGGAACCTAAAATAAATATATAAGATAATGTTTTCCTTGAACCTGTTGGGTAAGAGGATAATTGATATTTTCCTTAACTAAATGGTATGACTATTAATTGATTTCTAGGTTTCTCATCAAAGTTGTTCTTAGAAATGTGCCATGCTACCATAAAACACAATACACTAAAGGGGATATTGGTTTGAGCTTGTGTTAATGATTTCAATAGTTAAAACTGTGCATTCAATCAGCACTTTATTTCAATTGATTGAGATTGTGCATGAGTCAAAAAATGGATTCATCTTAAATTTTATTCCTTTTCATGATTTGTCTCTAGTATATACACAAACCATGTATACACTGAATTAACGAAAATTAGAGCTAAAAATATTTTCCATCAAGAATATTTCCTATATTTTTTTACTTGAAATAAATAAATAGGAAACTAATTAATCAATGAACCGAATTAAAGATATGATTATGTTCTGACATTATAGTTTAAAGTAATAACTAGTGTAGTGGTGATGCTTGTAGCTTTATTAGTTAATCTACAACACCAACACGAGTATATGAAAAAAAATGGATTGAACAATGATACATTTTTTTAACAAGCCACTGTACCATTCAAAATTAACCATAACTTTCTTATTTTAGGTCAAATTTCAATTAATGAAATGAATAAATTAATTAGTATTATGATTACAATTCAAATTAAATATTGGTTGGATTTTACTATAAAATTTCAGATGTTATAGAAGCTTCAACAAGCATTTACGTCTGAAATCTGAAATGAACCAATATGATTAATTCAAAATATTTAATTCTACTTTCATATAATTATTTAATTGATGTTTCAATAGTAAGTCAAATGAGAATTGGATTAAATGACTATTAAAATAAACACTGTGTCAAGTTGATGATATTAACAATGATTGTATAAAATATTTCATATAAGCACTGTTTCAAGTTGATGTTTCAATATAAAATATTTTGGATTTTACGTCATTATCTCATCATCATATTTAACGATGATATTAAGGAAATCAAGTTTACGATGGACTAAATTTCCAGCAACTTCTTTTTCTGGTGAAATTAAAATATTACGCTTTGATGTCTGAATTAGTCATGCTTGCAATAAAATTCAAGCACCTAATTACGGCATAGATAAATTAAAACAAAACTGGTAAGCCTCTACACGAGTTAAAAAAGAGTGTTTTAGGTGCAAACAATTAAACACTTATATAATGGGGTTATGAACTTATTGAAAATGTTAATCCTAGGGTGTAAACACGTCACATCTAAAAAAAGCATCTTAATCATCAGTTCAATTATCCTGACCTTGAATCATCAATACCATTAATCAGAAAGAGGTAATCATCTTGTTATTATCACAGTCCTAGGAAGCAGCGGAACAGATAAAATGGAATTGCCCTATTCAAAGATGAAGGAACCTTGAAAGGGAAGAGTAGATTTGTCCTTTTTTCAGTTCGCTACATTTTTTTCTTTACATAATTTTTTTTTATAAATTATTTCTCCAGTAAACAAAGGTCAGATTAGTATACCTAACTTAGAACAATAATATTGGAATGGTCTCGGTCATGTCACTTGACCAAGACATTTGGGTGTTACCATTAGCTAGTGTATTACAGTGTGATTAACTTGACTAAATTGTTCGTTGTGGGTTCACCAAGGATCTACAACTAATTCTTGCTGATTGGATGTTAATACCAGAGGCATATGTCGCTTCGTCGAGATTCACCACTCCATATTCCAAGATTAGGACATGGCAGGAAACAGGAAAGCCTACTGAACTTGCTCGGCGTTATCCACCCTTTCCACTAGGTATCCCGCCCTTCCCTTGAGTAAACAACATTACCAAGGTAGTTGTTATGTTTTTGGAACAGATGACAGTGTTTTTCTGACTCCTTGACTCGTCGCTTTTCTTGCGATATGCTATGTTTTCTTCCCCATTTGTAGTATTGGTCGAGAGACCAAAGTTGCCAAATATTATCCTCCCGCGTTGCCGTTGTTGGGAACTGCAATATCTTTTAGTCCGACTAACGTTTACGTCATTTTGAATATGCCGGCACATTCAAACTCGTAACTCTTTGTCCTTGTTGGGAAGGACTCTTTCTCACGTTAATATTCTTTGAATCACCACATCCATTCCTAAACGCATGAAACGCACACATGCGACGACCAGGAAGAAAGCCACGATATATAAGTATAATATCGTACATAATATACACATGCATGAATCACGGGCGTGTTAAGAAAAAAAAGTCAAATGAGCTTGTAAGACCGTGTAATGACGGTGCAGTCACTTGTCTCTTCTGTTATGTTAAAGCCTTCGACCAGGAAGGGCCATGTGCGAAGACACTGCTTCATTCGATCTCTAGAGTGGGGACATGTCAGCTCGTGGAACCCGGGAGTGTGTCTTCATTTTCTTGACGGGGGAACATGCCACCAACGGGTCCTTTTTCATGGCCCGCGGGACGAGCAACCAGAGGGCCCTCTTCTTCCCTGAAGCTAACAACAATTCGTTAAAGACATCAACTACAACGCTGCTTCTCTATTTTCTAACCAGTTGCCTTGAAACTTATGCTTCGGAAGATGCTGAGAAACAGCTTCATCAAGCCGTCAATTCACGCCGAGACGAAAGTTCAAGGTCAGAACCAGCGTGCCTCTGTTCTCGAACGTCCTCACTGGAGAAAAATAATAGAAGCATATACCTTTATTAGGTGGAAAAGTAGGTCCAAACAGGGCGGGGTCCTCAGTGGATGTGGTCTCGATCAAGATTAATAATCGAGGTTTTTCTCCTCCTACTCGACTGGGATAAACCCTGGTCGTCGGTGCAGGACCTTGCGAGCTGATGTCAGTCTATAAGAACCTTCTGTGGTTAGAGACGTGGCTCGGTTGGATGTTATATGCGCCGGTTCAATGGAAATAAAGTATAGCCTGCTCCACCCTTATGCACGTAGAATCATATACGAGAATACAATAAATATGGGGACAGAAATCTGTAGATAGATAGGCAAACTGGAGAACAAAGAAACAGAGAATGGTAGGTGGATGAATACAAAGACAAATATATAAGAGGGAGAGGGCGGAAGAGAGGCAGAGAAAGAGAGTGTCCAGCTCCGTGCATGGTGTACGTTTTAGTCCGTGATGAATCATTCCATTGCCAGTGGAGAGATTCTCCTCTATAGACGCTCCCACCAAAAAGGGATTAAAATAAAAAGCGCTTTTTCTGAGCCAATGTCGACTCACCAACAAGGGAGCTGCCAAATGGACGACCAGGGATATCTCATGCCGTGGGCCAATCAAATCCATCCGATGGTATAGGGTTGAGTAGGCAAAAGGACGGTACAGGCCTTCAGAGATGTCGCCACACCTACCACATTCCTGTCCCCGCGTAAATCGTGTCATCGAGCTAATAACATCATCAGTCAGCTAATAATAGAAACTGGGCAATGATTATCACTTTAATCTCAAGACATAAGCAGAACTTCATAGATCCTTACCCGTGGTATTCAAGTGTAGGCCCAGATAAGCTTGAGCTGTTCTTATTCTATGACTGGAGCGACAGCATACCCGTCGAGTCCATCTCATGGCAAGCTGGGAGTGGGGGCGGGGTTCTCGTCCTTAGATCCTAGGGAAGCTTCCAGCAAGCCTCTGAGTAGGCATTTTGATGAGTTCCTACCGGCAGACGCGTGTGACTATGTCAGCCGCCGATTACCGGCACGGTCTGGCCCACTGGGGGTTGGCGGCGGGACATGGTGGCGGCGCAGAACTGGGCGGGTTACACCTAATTGGCGGTATAATTGTTGGTGGCTGTGGACAGCCCCAGATTGACGGGACTAATTTTTGAGGTCACTTCACGAAAATATGCCACGTATACTTTCCTCTGCCGCTCCCTCACGAATACCGCATGAAGGTTATGAATAGCAATCTAACCAACTTAAAATTCTTCTTTTTCGTAGATTGGTAGGTCCGGGTTAATAGGGCGTTCCACAGGCTAATTGTAGGCATAATCATGGTCGCTTCCAATACATTTCTCTCCCACTTCGGACATACCGACTGTTACTGTTATGTAAGCTCTCTCTTTCTCTCTCTTCTCTTTATATATATATATATATATATATATATATATCTCTGTATCTACTCAGCAATTCTCGCGTATTTGCAGGTGGTGCAATCCGAGGGGCTGTATAAGTCCGCCATTAGTCACTATAAAAAGAGCACCCGAGCGCCTCCTCATAAGAGCAACGATATCTATTCATTCGTCCCACCCCTACACCAAACACCCCCCCCGTCCCGGACCTCTACTCTTCCGTCCCAATTACAGAGGCTCACGTCTCCATTTGAAATGGGCGCTACCACAGAATGGTTGATCCTCCCCCTCTCCCTTGCCGCCAAATGTGGTGCCTCTCAGTCCTCGCTCAGTTTCCTTGCCCTCCTGGTCTCTTTCTCTTCGCTTGCGGCCGTGCTTCTATACTGGTTAACCCCGGGCGGCCCCGCCTGGGGAAGGTATTGGTGGACGAAAGGAGGCCACCGTAAGCTGATTCCCGGCCCGCGAGGTTACCCCATAGTGGGCAGCATGGGGCTCATGCGCACACTCGCCCACCGCCAGCTCGCCGCAGCCGCCGAGCGCTTCGGCGCCCGACGGCTCATGGCTTTCAGCCTCGGCGAGACAAGGGTCATCGTCACAGGTGACCCATACATGGCGAAGGAGATCCTCAACAGCTCCATATTCGCCGACCGCCCTATCAAGGAGTCCGCTTACGGGCTCATGTTCCACCAGGCCATCGGCTTCGCCCCTTATGGCGTGTACTGGCGCATGCTCCGCCGGATTTCCTCCACGCACCTATTTTGTCCGAAGCAAATCGGCATGGCGGCGCCGAAGCGGGCGAGCATTGCGGCCCAAATGGCGGCCTCATTTAGGAGGAGTGGAGGAGGAAACTCGGTCGTCAGAGTTCGGGATGTCCTTAAGTGCGCCTCCCTCAACAACATCATGTGGTCTGTCTTCGGGCGTAACTACGACTTTACTACAGCGGCGGAGGAGGTGAAGGAACTGAGGTTCTTGGTAGAGGAAGGCTATGATTTACTTGGGAAGCTCAACTACTCCGACCACTTGCCGCTCCTTGCCTTCCTCGACCTTCAGGGAATACGCCGTCGCTGCTCTAACCTTATGCCACGAGTTAATCGCTTCGTTGGCCGTATCATCAAGGAGCACCGTGCAAATACGGCGCGTCCGATTGCTTCCGACTTCGTCGACGTCCTACTCTCCCTGCAAGGCGGAGGCGACGGCTTGTCCGATTCCGATATGGTTGCCGTCCTCTGGGTAAGCAAGGAATCAAATCACACACTCCCCCCCTCCTATTGTACCACTTCTTCGCCGTATCGGTCCTCGGCGGAGCCGCCAGCCAATTCGAGCAACCATCCCAATCGTCATAATGATCTTCGTCGCTGATCATTCTAACCACGGTTTGTGCGCAGGAGATGATATTTCGAGGGGTGGACACGGTCTCAGTGCTGATAGAGTGGGTTCTGGCCCGGATTGTGCTGCACGAGGACGTCCAGTGGAAAGTCCACGCTGAGTTGGATCGGGTTGTGGGCCAGTCCAGGCCGGTCCAGGAGTCCGACGTCGCGTTGTTGCCCTTCCTCAACGCCGTCATAACGGAGGTCCTCAGGCTACACCCCCCGGGCCCGCTCCTCTCTTGGGCTCGTCTGGCCACGTCAGATGTGGTGCTCGACGGGCGGCTGGTCCCGGAGGGGACCACCGCAATTGTCAACATGTGGGCCGTCACCCACGACTCGCACGTGTGGCCTGAGCCCGAAGAGTTTCGGCCAGAGAGGTTCCTGGCGGAGGGGACCGCCGGCGGCTTCGAGTTCTCGTCGCTTTTCGGCTCGGATCTAAGGCTAGCACCGTTCGGGTCTGGTCGGAGGAGCTGCCCCGGTAAGGCTCTGGCTATGGCCACCGTCAGCTACTGGGTGGCGGTGCTGCTGCATGAGTTCGAGTGGCTCCCGCCGTCGCCTAAGAAGAGCAGTGTTGACCTATCGGAGGTTCTAAGACTGTCCTGCGAGATGGCGGTTCCACTCACCGTAAGGCTGCGCTGCCGAAGAGAATGAATTATGCCGCCGCTTCTTCTGTGCCTACTGCACGACTGCTACAAATCTATGCGTACAGCCTTCTTCTCACTCTTCCTGGCATGGCGTTTCTCCCTTTCTTTTTTTAAATCGTAAGATGTACCAAGGTGGGTTTGTCGTCTTGGGCTTTGTTTGTTTTAATTTATTGTCCATCATATGGTGTGTATCATGTAAATACTGTCTAAATTATACATTAAGGGAACTTCAAATCTGATCTCCCTCTCTTTCTCTCTCCCTCTCTCTAGGAGACGAACATCCCCTCCTCGTACAACGGAAATAAATACAAATTCAATACATAAAGTGAGTAAACGACAGTCACACTAGACTCACGTGGTTCGGAGACTACTCTTATTTTAGGAAAAGTTATGATAGTACCGTATAAGATTAAATTTTGCCTCGGGGGTCATTGCCCCTAGACCTTACAGCCAGCTCACTTCTGAGTTAGATCAGTCTACTTGCCGTATACCTGACTTTGATCACTTTCCACATACCTCTAATGTGTGTGTGAGTGCGCGCTTATTTAATCTTCAAGCTAGCTAGTGCTTTTCTCTTCTTTGAACAACTTTTGTATGCATTTTTCAACTTGAAAATACTTCTAATCTCAGAGTTTTCTTTAGGATATACCAAGGTAATACACAATGGTTGGTTTTTGGTGTAGCCAACAATATAGATAATATTCTAGACTGGAATGTCACGCATGACATGAGGCATCCCTTCTAACATTACGTTTCTAAAGCATACGAATTTATTATTGGCTTTTCTTTAAACCAAATTAAGCTCTATCACAATCAACTTTTGAGTATCAACATATATACTTTTAATCTACGATTTAAATTATTCCTTATTTTCTTGATCAAATATGGGTGGGGATCAGATCCCAATGTTAATGTACAAGATTACTGATGGTCGGTGATAGTTTAACATGACATGAAAGGGTAGATGATATACCTATGAAACGGAAAAATAATCTTGGACTTCTAATTAGTTAAGCCTTATGCAAATGGAACAATTACAAGAGAGCAAGAAACTAATTGCTTGGGCTTGTGATCTTAGTATCTTCCATCATTATTGAAGATTTTTCTCCCAACCAAGGAAATGAATTGTCGTTAAAATTGAGAAGATATAGTACGTCACTTATATTAAATATGATTATCTCATATTTGAGACTATCTCACATAGATATTTTCGCACTAGATAGTGGAATTGGATCACATCTAGCACAACATACTTTTGACTTTGAAGATGTGTTGTCAATTTTTGTACTACCATGGGGTCATTGCAATTGTGACCAAACAAAGGGATCTTCCTGAAGCAAACACATGAAAATGCTGGATTATAGATGGATATTACAACATGCATAATAACTCCTATGACAACAATGATATGGTTTTTTTTAATCTGAGCTAGTAAATATATTTTTAATAACTAATGCTTAGATTTCTAATAATTTTAAATAAATATATTCAGAAGAGAAACTTAAATATTCTTACAGATCAACATAGGTCTATTACTTTATATTTCAATTTTGAAGATGAAGTTAAGTGCTTGAGTCAATGAAAATATTACTTCAAAGGGCACCTATTTAAGGCAATTAGTTCTGATGAAATTTTCACCAATAAAATTTGTACGCTCATATTCAAAGAGATTAAAGAAATCCCAACTTGATTGTGTGGACTATCGAAAATGATTTTTAATTCCATCCTTTAACCTCTTTGTGCATTCTGTCTTTAATTTATATCTTTATGTTGTGTTAGAGAACCATTATGGACGAATCATTAAGTAATAATAGAGCTCAACTCCTAACTAGAACAAGATGATTCTTTTAAAAAACAAGGATAAGAAATATAAGTAAGAAGCTAAGTAAATAATCTCCTTTAGTGGACATCACCTCATGAAATCAAAGTCTATAAAGTGAATTAAAATCCAGAAATTAAGGAACCTGGTTCATAATTAAATAAAAAATTATTCTAATAATTTAAAATCTTTCCAATAATGTCTTGTCTTTACAATGTTCCATCTCATATACCAATTAAATTTTCTTTAATCATCTGAAGTTCTCCATTGTCTTAGTTTCCTTAAAAATATCAAACTTAGATCAAGTAATATGCCTGATAAACACGACATCCTTTCTTGAGAACCATTTCTAATGATTGAATTGTAATGAGTTGCAAATATATCATAAGAGCTATCTACCCAAATAAGAGTATATATGAAAATGATTTAGGATAATGGCATCAATGGGAAGCTTCATGTTGCAATATGTATAAATAATTTTTTTGGCATTGAGGTAATCTTTTACCTACTTTTTTTTTGATGTTACCTCTATAAATAATAATTTCTAAGATGAAGAGAAGATAATTGTCTTCACTTGTTTTTTCTATCCCAGATTGTTTAAAGATTTGGATACCCAAGCAAGTTTTTATATAGTCGTAGCTACATTCATAATGAATTAAAATTATTCTTTCATGAATTTATTGCGTTAAGAAATTGTTTAGGCGTGGATGTTTTGTTTGCCTCACCTTTGTATTCCATGTAGCTTTTCTCAATAGAATTTCTTGTCAAAACTGTCCACTAAATGAAAACCAAGGTGAATGCATTTAATGAAAACCTTTTGGTTAAAATTTTGCTTCAACATGAAGATTAGACTACATGATATTCGTTGTAAATAGAAATGAGGGATCACAATATGCTCAGCTTGAAGAATTATAGTAACAATTATTAATGCTATGATTTTCATTGTCTCTAAAGACAATTTTTGGAATCATCTCATAATGATTATATAATGATGTCCCAACTAATTTTAAAGATTTGTAACATCCTTAAAATTGCATCGGTTTTAGTCTAGCAAAAGAAATACATTTTGATATCAACTTTAATGTCACTCAATTGCATTTCCTTGCAATCTTGAATGGATAATCTTACACATTGAAAATTTCCTCAATACTGCTAGACTGTGTTGAATCATTTTTACTCATAATAGAAGAGGGGAGTCAACATGATTTTGTAACTAGTAGCACATAAAAATGAATAAAACATGTTAAGATTCAGATCCCTTTGAACATTCTAATCAATTACTGTCATTATTCTTGTATAGTTGGAGGAAAAACATAGTTCAAGAATTCTTCTGATTACATAATTAATTTAATTTGTGGAACTAATGGAAAGCCCATAATAGTTAATTTTACTACCTTTAGTTATGGTTTTAATCACTTATTGGTTGACTTCCTGAATAAAATATAGGATATTACACCTTTATTTCATTAATTTGTTGATAAAATCCAAAATTTTAAATTAAATTATTTTTGGTACAAATAACTTATCTAAGTCTAAACTTTTTGAAAATAAATATTTCTTTTTCAATCTTACATAGGCTCAAATAAAATGGTTGTGCCTTCTAATTCAAATATCATATCATTAATTAGTTTATTGCATGGATTGCATCATATGGTATTCATTCTCTAGGTGTTTAGAGTTTATAATTTATCTGATGTGACGTGAACATGTTTCCATCAGAAATATCATTATTATCAATGTTAACCTAAATGATTTAGACATTCTAACAATGTAATTGCCTAGTTGGTTCAGGTTTCATCTTTTGAAAGGTTTCCTATCAGATGGTATGTGGAATTCTTTATCCTATATAATATTTTGTGTTGCAAAGACGATACTTCGCTAATACACTATCTTACTGTATTGAACAGCAAGAAAAGTATTGTACAAGCTCCCCTGAATAGTTTTATGCTCCCAAGAAGACGTTCCTTTTAGGTTAGAAATGGACAGATGTTATCACTCTTTATTGAGTAAATCCGTGCGTACGTAGGGGCACCCTTCGTTCTTATTCTATATTATTTCCTTCTGAAGGGGAGTATTAGTCTACGCATGTTACATCTCTATATAGTTCTATAAATCAATAGAATAAAGATGGGTTTTTTCGATTCGGTCTACGAATATGATGTGGATGTGGAAAACAAGGCTATAGATCAATGTCATAGGTCTTCTTTTTCCTCCTAATACAACGTTATATTGCAGAGCAGCCCAGTTTACCCCTCTCCTTCCAGGACCCGTCCCTAATCCTTCCGCGGAAATTGGATTAGTTTTCCCAGTACGCGAATGAAACTCGCCGCTTGATTCCAACAGCTACGATGTAAACTTTATTACGTTCCTTTTAACAACGTAGCAGCACAGATATCCTTCTGTTCTCAAGCATACTCGGTTAGAAGAGTCGAAAGCAACGTATGAAGAACCCCGTCTATCACTGCTTCTTAGATCCATGCGTATAACATGAAAATTCATGACCGCACAAGCAATCGGCGGAGCTTCGCCGGCATCTAAAACTGTTAAAGACCAAAATAGGCCAAATCAGCTGGTGACAAGAAATCCCCTTTCTTCAATCAGCTGAACTAAATGGAAGTCTTCTTCGGCCAGCTCAATCGATGGTGCCTGCAGACCATGGTGGTCTGCGTCTTGCCTTAGTTTCTCCGTCTCGACGGAACGACTCCATGAAGTTCGGAGTACGAGAGGGAGACGGGAGAGGATTGGAGAATATGCCGTATTCGGTATTCTTTAACTCCTGGGATTAAATAAGCAAGATGGTGGAGAACATCGACACCAGCGTTCACATGTGAGGGAGACGATGATTGGTTGACGATATCAACCAGGGACGGGATGTCCACAGGAGGGAGAGCTTGAACCATGGGTTTTAGGGTTCCGGATGCTGACGAAGACGCGTCACCAACCAGCGGTGCCCCCTTGGGTCACCGGAGAAGGCAACGAAACCTATGGAGTTGGCAGCTTGCCGACCCACGGAGAAGATAAGGGCCAAGTAAATAAAGATAAGAGTCTGACTTGACCACATACCGCATTCGAAGAGCTGTCGGTGCATGGCAGTTAGTGCTCATGGGCAAGTCAGTGCTAAAATCGTCCACTTGCCAAATGATGACGGAGGCAAAGAGTAGCTTAAGCATTATATCCCCATCGCGGTC